TCCAAAGATGTGCATGCTTGGTGGATTGGCCATGCTAAATTGCCCATAGTGTTCAGGGATGTGTAGATTAGTGGGGTCGGTCTGGGTGGGATGCTTTAAGGTTTGGTGTGGACTTGTTGGGCCAAAAGGCCTGTTTCCGCACATGAAGAATTTCTGAATGTGTCAGAGGAACATTTGGAACAGAAGGAGGCTATTCAGTCCCTGAAGTCTCCTCAAACATTCAATTCAATCAGGACTGACCCTTATTTCATATACCTTTACCTTTGCTAAGCTCTTAACAAAAATCTAACATCTCAGTTTTAAAATGTTCAATTGGCTCTCAGTATCCACAACCTGTTGTGGCCAGGGATTTTACATTTTTAATTCTCCATTTTACTCTCATGCTAACGTTTCTGTACTCGGCTCACTGCATTCTTCCAGTGAATGCTAAACATTAGCTTCAAGAAAGCACCTCATCTTTCAATTCGGCATTTTAAAGCTTTCTGGACCCACCATTGAGACCAACATTCCCTCTATATTGTTTTCATTTCTCTTGTTTCAGTTTGTTTCTTTGTCAGCTGCACACCTGCTCCAGGCACACCGTTTGTTTCTTTGTTTCTTTTCTGGCCCCAACTCCGTTGCTTGTGGCCTTGAGGGAAGAAGTTTTCTGTCATTTAATCTTTCCTGTCTTCTCACTTGTCACAGGCCATTTTTTGTACTAGTCTCACCCACACCTACTCAAAACTTATTACATTTCTTATACTTCCCAGCCCTGACGAAAATTCACAGACCTGAACTATTAACTATATTTATTTCAGCACATCTATTGCCAGAACTTCTGAGTGTTTTCCAACATGTTCTGTTTTCATTCCCAATTTTTGCTATTCTTTGTATGAAGAATTGCTTGTATGAAGATTTCACATCATCTCCAAATGATGTCCCTTTGTTCTCAATTCGCCCACTAGAGGAAATAATGTCCATACCTATCCAATTAACACATCTGACGGATTTTGGTAAATTCCTTTTAATTTGAAGAAGTATCAATTTACAGTTACATTCTAGGGCCAAGAAGTGCTGCTGGAATGGTTTATAACAAGACTTTCAGAGACTCACCCCAACCGTCGCTTCATTTTCTCATTAGCAAGTTTTCTGTTTTTAATTCAGTTTAACCAGCCTGAGTGTTTAATATGGGATTTGGATGAGTAATTGTTGCTGGATACTAGACATGGAAAGACACGTGAAGTTGCACAGAGAACAGTAACAAAACTATACATGGCTTGACAGGGTTGGTGCAGGAATGATTATTCCCCTCGTTGAGTGAGTCCAGATCAGGGGACAAAGCTGGGCCATTTAAGACTTAGACAAGGAGGAATTTCCTCATTGAGAATGAGGCGAGTCTTGGAATTCTCTATCACAGAGGCTGTGGTAGTTCATTCAAGTCAGAAATAGATTTCTCAATTTTAAAGATATCGAGGGATACGTGGATGGTGCAGTAAAATTGTATTCAGCTAGATAAACAGCCATGATCTAATTGAATGACATTGATTTTGAGGAAGTGATTGGTCTCCTCCTCTCCTTTTATTTCTGACTGATCAGAGCAGATTTGAAGATCAATCTTTTAAAAGCTACACAGATTTGAAGGACAAGTTATTATTTTCAGGATTAAATATGATACCATTACATAGAATCCCTACAGTGTGGAAACTGGCCCTTTGGCCCAAAAAAGTCCACACTGCCCCTCAGACGATCCCACCCCCATAAAGCACACCTGATCCAATCATCCCTGAACACGATGGACAATTTAGTATGGCCAATCCACCTAGCCTGCACATCTTTGGACTGTGGAAGCCAGAACTCCTGGAGAAAACGCATGCAGAAATGGGGAGAATGAGCAAACTCCACACAGACAATCACCTAAGGGTAGAATTGAACGCAGGACCCTAGCATTGTGAGGCAGCAGTGCTAATCGTGGAGCCACCGTGCTGCCCAAAGCTTAGATTTCCCCGACCATTGGGAAATTGAAGCCTGGCCTGCCTGTTCTGAGAAAGGGTCACTGGACCTGAAATATTAACTCTGTTTTGTCCTTCACAGATGCTCCCAGACCTGCTGAGCTTTTCTAGCAACTTTGTTTTTGTTCCTGGTCTGCCACATGATACTAACCACTATACTACTGAGGAGCTGAAAAACTTGGATTAATTGTTAAGATATTCCAGTGGAGGAGTGGGACAGGACCTTCCTGGTACATTAGCTGGTGTAGAAACTGAACTTGCATTGGAGGTGTCATTCGATATTGTAAACGAGCTGTCCAGCCAAAAGAGCAAACTAATCCTTAGAAGGTATAGTGTGGACAGCATTGAATGGTATGAAAATAATAACTGGACAGGAGCTTCTGTCAAATGAGTGTGACAACCTTGGAGATTTGTCTGAGGACTTTCTGGTCAGTTCTCTAACATTGTTGAGACAGAACTAAGAAGCAACCGGAAAGCCCCTCTGCGCATGTGCATTGCTCCCTCCCGCGCAGGCGCAGATCTATTGAGGAACATTCTCGACGGCACCCTTGCGCAGATGTGCAGCGATGCATCGCTGACTCCGGCCTGGTGACGTCACCGTGCCCACCGGTTCAGTGGTGCGGGTTTTGACTTCTCTTCCTGCAGAGAGAATCTGAAATCTTTGTATCTGCAGGTTCCTGCGGATTTTATTTTTGGAAAAGCAGTGAATCGTTTGAGAGATTTGTTTTCATGTGACTTCATCCACAATTCCGAGCTTTACTATTAAGTTCTGTCCCTCTGGAGCTGGCGTGACTGCTTTGCTTTGAATCTGAATCCACATCCATCCATTGCCTGGTTTCACCTCTGTCCTCTGTCATAATCTCTCTGTATTGTCGAACTTCCTATGTATCTAATAATGAGTGCATTTTAAAAATGTTTTTACTGGTTTTGCTGGCCATATGTAAATGAGGATTGTGCTTTAACAGTTTTAAGATCTAATTTCATTTTTCGTTGTTACAAATTCTATTCATGCGCAAATTTATCTTCCACTTCTGATTACGCACTGTTTTTACCCCCAATGTTAATTCTGCATAGACTCAAAGATTAACTGTTTCTCACTCCTGTGACACTGTCTAGCCTGCTAATACTTCCTGCTTTTGACACAGAACTATAAAAGGACATATTAAGGCAAACCTCTGAAAGCTTCGTCAAGGAGGTAGGCTTTAATGAGTATCTTGCAGAGAGGAAGATGAAGAGATGAACAAAGAGGAGAGTTAGAAGGCCCGGATATGTTAGCTTTATTCAGTTTTTGGGAAGATTATGACATACAAGATCATGGAGACATTTGAGAACAGTTTAAAAATTGATCTGTTTTCTAATTCGGACCCTGTAAGGTTAAGATCAGTATGAGCTGTGGGCGGGGTGATGTTACTGTAGTCAAAATTGTCGGCCTTAGTTATGGCGCAGAAATGAGGCCAGAAACCCGTTTTGGAGTCCATGTAACATTCTGGTTGCTAACAAACTCGTTCTGCCTCATAGAATTGTTAGGGACTTGATGAGAAATATTTCAGTCAATATTTAATTGGAGGAAGTTTCTGTTCTTCAAGGGTTTGGATGAGGGGACCAAAAGCAACGTTACCAATTTTGATGACCATGTATGACTAAATCAATAATAAACTCATCAATAAATGCCAGCCTCATCAGTGACACCCATATCCTGTCAACGAATATGTATGAAAAGAAAAATGGGATTGTGAGTATTGAGAAGGATGCAAGGAAGCTTGAGGTTGATGTAGAAGTGCTGAGTGTATGAACAGACAGATGTCAGGTGCAGGAAAACATGGATAAATGTGGAGTTACACACTTCGCAAAAACAGAAGGGAAGAGTATGATTGAAATAGTAATGTATTGAGAAATGTAGGTATACAAAAGCATCTGGATATTTTTGCATACCAGACAATGGAAGTAAATAGGTAGCTGCAGCAAGCAATCAGAAGGGAACTGTTGTCCTTCATTGCAAGAGAAATTGAAATCAAAAATAAGGATATCTTACTGTAATACCGGTTCACAGTTCACATTTTACATGGATTATTGTGTGCAGTTTTAGTCTTCCTGCCCATGAGGGGATATACTTACCATGGAGCAAATACAGCAAAGGTTTGTTTGGCTGATACTGAGGATGGCAGGACTGTCCTGTGACGAGAGATTGGTTTGACTCTGCCTGAATTTATTAGAGTTTAGAATAACACATAAAACTATATTAGGGCCAGACAGATGAGATGCAGGGAGATTGTTTTCCCTGGATGGGGAGTCTAGAAACAGGGTTCACAGTCTCCAGATACTGGGTAGACCAATTAGAATTGAGATGATACTGTGGAGGCTGGTCTCTGAGCTAATTGCTTTCTTGGATATAATAAATGTTTATATTTTAAAGGTATCAAGGAGCATGGTTCAAAATTGGGAATATAGCGTTGACATTGATCATCAGCAATGATCATATTGAATGACAAAGCAAGCTCAAAGCAGATTTCGTTTTGTTTTTTTTTTCTTTTTAAATTTGCTCCAAGTGTCTACATCTGTGTCCAAGTGGACGTCGAACAGATCGACACTTTCCTAAACACAGAAGTGTTTGCCTGATCAGGCTGCCCTTCAACATGGAGGAGGTTAAGAGTTTGAAAAGTTCTTGTCATGTCGTAGATACACTCCTTATAGCTCCCACTTCTCATTTGCACTTCTCTCTGATCCCAGAGATATGGTAACTTCACTTGTCCTAAAGGACTTCAGTGAACCAGTTATGATCAGGGTCACATTTTCCTCATGCCAGCCCCACAAATCACCAGTTTCATTCAGCTTAATTTCACATGCTGCTTTTATTTTTTGTGGGTTCTCACTCACTTGTTTTCTTCTGTCTAAATCAATTTCACAGCGTATTCAAGGGGTGGATTCGCAGTCGGGAAACTCGAACCAAACATCTCACCAAGATTTGACAAATTACTCAATTTATTGTAACCAGAATATCATTGGATTTTGACCATGGAAGAAGAAAACACCTCTCATAGTGGGGAGAAACCGTACACATGTTCTATGTGTGGTCGAGGCTTCAGCCAATCATCCGGCCTATCTAAACACAAGCGCAGTCATGACAGGGAGAAGCTGTGTAAATGTGGGGACTGCGGGAGGGCATTTAACTTCTCCTGCGAGTTGGAAATTCATCAGTGCTGTCACACTGGGGAGAGGCTGTTCCTGTGCTCCGTCTGTGAGAAGAGCTTCACTCGGTCAGCATACTTGCTGCAACACCAGCGAGTTCACACTGGAGAGAGGCCGTTCACTTGCTCTGTTTGTGAGAAAGGCTTTACTAATTTGTCCAACCTGGTGAGACACAAGCAGGTTCATACTATCGAGAGACCTTTTAAGTGTACAGACTGTGAGAAGTGCGATAAAAGTTCCAGGGAACTGACACGCCATCGAAGTGTTCACACAGATAAGAGACCATTCAAGTGCTCTCACTGTGAAACTGGGTTCAAGCATTCATCTGAACTTACTCTACATCAACGCATTCACACTGGAGAGAAGCCATTCACCTGTTCCACGTGTCAGAAGAAGTTCATTCAATCATCTCATCTTCGGTCACACCAGCAAATTCACACTGGGGAGAGACGATATGCCTGGTCCACGTGTGAGAAGAAATTTGCTCATTCATCCCATCTGGTGAGACACCAGCGATGTCACAAGTAGTTCTGATGTTGGGATTTTCCTGTTAATGACATCCAGAACTGACCCATGTATATCAGGTTCCATTTCGGTTGATGTTAATAAAATCCAACCAAGTTAAAGGTGCTAGTATTCTGGGTGTCAAATAAATCAGGTATGTATCAATTACACAGTGTGGTGAGTCTTTTTAATATCGAACACAAGTTCTGCCTCCTCCATCCTCACCTCCAACAATAAGTTCAAAGAACATATTGGAGCTTCTTTGTCACTAAGATTGAGACAATCTGATCAGCTCCCTGTCCTGTTTCCCTCCCTCCCATTCGCTCACTGGGACAAGCTGCCTCAAAGTTCTTTTTCAAGTCTGAGCCCTGGACATGTTCGTGTCTTCAATCTCCCTCCATTTCCTGCATTGCCATGTTAGTACTCACGTTGTCCCAAGACTCTCACTTCCTGCTCCAATGACCTTATTCTCATGAAATGTCTGACCACCGAACATCTTTATTTTCTGCATTTGTTAATGGTTCTCTTGCTAGTACAGTCCCTTTTCCTATAAACCCGCCATATTCATGTTCCAACCTCACCATCCCTGCAAGTTACTGTCTCATTTTGAACCTGCCTTTCCTATCCAAAGTCCTGGAATGAATTGTTTCCTGCCACATCCACACCATCTCTCCCAGGAGGCAACGTTTTAATACGCCAGATTTCTATCCCTGCCAAATTCAGGAAAAGGTGAGCTTCGGGTCCCATTCATTGTTTGATGGAGCAACACGCACCTGTGTGGAAAATTGTCATGTTGCTTTGAGTTTGATGTCTAAATAAGGACAAAACTTTCCACAATAAATGGAATCGAATGAGTTGGAATGGTTGCTCATGCCTGATAATATCCATCAGGAGAACATCTGTTCCATATTAGATGCAGCAGCTTTCTGCCAAATGCAGGGGCTTCCACCGGGTATTAAAAACACTGCCATCCACAAGGTGTTGGAGCAGGAGTAGGCCATTCGGCCCATTGAAACTGCTCCGCCATTCATTGAGATCATGGCAGATTTGATAACCCTCAATTCCACTGTGCCAACATTTCCCACAACCTTTAATTTCTCTACTGATTAAAAAGAAAAATCTGCCTGTCCAAATCTAGTGAGCACAGGCCCTTGAGAGAATGAACTGGGAAAATAATAATGGGTAACCAGGAAATGGCAGAAGAGTTGAATAAATACTTTACACCAGTCTTCACAGTAGAAGCCACTCATAGCATTTCAAACTTGCTTAATAGCCAAAAGGCAAAAAAAAAAGGACAGTAAATAAATGCAATGAAGATCATTGGAGATGAAATGTTAGGAAACCTAATGGAGCTAACGACCAATTAGATCCCTGGATTTGGTCGGCTGCATCGTAGGATATGAAAGGAACTATCTGCAAAAATCGTGGATTCACTAGTAGCCATCTTACAAGAATCTTTAGAATTTGGAAGAGTCCCAGACGATTAGAAAACTGCCAATTTATTACCTTTATGTGAAAAAAAAACTAACTGCAGACAAGTTAGCATAACATCTGTTATTGGATAAATCTTAGAGTCTATTATAATAAAAGGTGTAACAACAGAGCCAAGGATAGGTCCTTGAGGGACAACCAAGTTCAGGGAATTTAGAGAGGAACATAAGAAATAGGAGCAAGAGTAGGCCATCTGCTCCGTCGAGCATGCTCTGCCAATCGATAAGATCATGGTTGATCTTTTTGTGGATTCAGCTCCACTTAACTGCCAACTCTTGTACTCAATACCTCGTCTGATTAATGAAAGCATGCCGTATGCCTTCTTGACCACTCTATTGACCTGCATTGCCACCTTCAGGGTACAATGGACCTGAACACCCAGATCTCTCTGTGCATCAATTTTCCCCAGGGCTTTTCCATTTACCACATAGTTCGCTCTTGAATTGGATCTTCCAAAATGCGTCACCTCACATTTGCCTGGATTGAACTCCATCTGACATTTCTCCGCCCAACTCTCCAACCTATCTATATTCTGCTGCATTCTCCGACAGTCCCCTTCACTATCTGCTACTCCACCAATCTTAGTGTCATCTGCAAAGTAGCTAATCAGACTATCTATACCTTCCTCCAGATCATTTATGTTTATCACAAACAACAGTGGTCCCAACACGGATCCCTGTGGAACACCACTGGTCACAGGTCTCCATTTGGAGAAACTCTCTTCCACTGCAACACTCTGTCTCCTGTTGCCCAGCCAGTTCTCTATCCATCTAGTTAGTACACCCTGGACCCCATGCGACTTCACTTTCTCCGTCAGCCTACCATAGTGGACCTTATCAAAAGTTTTACTGAAGTCAATGTATATGACATCTACAGCCCTTCCCTCATGTATCAAATTTGTCACTTCCTCAAAGAATTCTATCAAGTTGGTAAGACAAGACATTCCCTGCACAAAACAATGCAGCCTATCACTAACAAGCCCATTTTCTTCCAAATGTAAATAGATCCTAACCCTTAGCATCTTCTCCAGTAGCTTCCCCACCACTGATGTCAGGGTCATAGGTCTATAATTACCTGGATTATCCTTGCTCCCATTCTTAAACAAGAGGACAACATTAACAATTCTCCAGTCCTTCGGGACCTCACCCGTGTTCAAGGATGCTGCAAAGATATCTGTTAAGGCCCTAGCTATTTCATCTCTCACTTCCCTCAGTAACCTGGGATAGATCCCATCCGGACCTGGGGACTTGTCCACGCTAACGCCTTCCAGGCATGCTACATTTTAACATTTCTCATGGAATGGTTTCAACAGGAAAGAGGAACATTTGGCTTGTCTTGTCCGTGCCACAATCCTTATATTTCTTGTCATCCTGTATTTGATTCAGAACGGAGATTGAAATGAACTACATTATTGAGAAATAGACTGAATGGGAAGAATCCATTTTCATGAGCAGAGAGATTAATAGTTAGATCAATGGATTGAGAAAGAAAGATGTATTTGTATTTTGAAAGCGCCTTTCACCACCATCTAAATCACAACCAATGAAGTACTTTTGAAGCAGATTCGTTATTGGCCAAACTAATGTGCAAATCAGGGCAGTTTGATTAACCACAGGTCAAAAAAGAAACTGTTTCAAATACTCACAACTGGCGCTGGATGTGCCGTGAGTTCATAACGAACTTTGGGGGTTTGCTATTCTCTGATTTACACCCGGGTGCGTAATCTCAGGGGAAGGTGTTGCCCATTTAATACAGAGATGAGGGGAATGTTCTCCCATTCAGAGAGTAACAAATCTGTGGAATTCTTCTGACAGAGTTCTGATAAGGCTGGGTGCATTCAAGGCTAAGATCGACAGAGATTTAGTTATTTAGGGATTCAAGGGCCACTGTAATAAGGCAGAAAAGCGGAGTTCAGGATTAGCCATGATCTCATTTAAAGATGTAATTGCCCTGATGCGCCAAAATACTTCCATCTGTCCCAGTGTCTTACCTGTCATTTGCAAAATACGAGACAATTGTAAGGAAGAAATAAAGGATGTTTATAAAAGGTTATTGCAGTCAAACACAGTCAACATCGTTTGTTGAAAAGCAAGTAACACTTGATAGTTGTGCCAGAGTTCTTTGGTAATATTACAAGCACAGTTGATAAAGGCATACGGCAGATGAAGTGCAGTTGAATTTTTAGTAGGCACTCAGGAAGGAGCCATATCTCAGGTCATTGCACAAGGTAGGAGTTTACGCTGTTAGGTATAAATGAGCATGGGCTATCCATTTTTTAATTAACATAAAATACAGAATCGGGGTTATTGGGTATTTTTCAAGTTGGAAAAATATGATTTGTGGAGTGCCAGAATGGTCAGTCATAGGGCTGCAATTATTTATTACTGTATTAATGACTTGGAGGAAGTGCGAGAGTTTAACGTGTTCAGTTTTGCAGAAGATACGAAATAGACGGAGGACATGTTGTGATGAGGACATGCGAATCTGCAAAGGGATGCAGATAAGTTGCGTGAGTGGAGAAAAAAACTTGGCTCATGCAGTTTCATGTCGGCAGTGTGAGTTCTTGCACTTTGGTAGAAGAGTCAAAAGGTAGACTACTATTAAAATCGAGAGAAATTTCCAAAAAAAAGGGTACAGAGGAAGCTGAGTGTTCTTGCGCATGAAGCAAACAAAGGTAAATGACATATTTATTTTTCTGGCAAAAAATGGCCTCCTTTCCTAAAGCTCACAACGAAAAAGATGGTTTCCCAGGAAAAGACAGAAATTAAGTACATGTAAATCAATCGAAGGCCATGATATGTCCAAAGTTGTTCTATGGGACATATTTGATGTACTGTTTATGGTTCTGTAAACTTTATTTGCAATGGAGCTGGGAGTGGGAGAGGGGGAAATTAAGGTCACCCATGATTATTGTCATCCCTTTATCTGTCACACACAATATCTGTTTTTAATACGTTTGTTTTCATGTTGTAGTTACTGTTAGTGGGCTTGTAGACTACATCCACTGGTGACTTCTTTCCCTCACTACTCCTTATCTCGACATAAACAGATTCTACATGCATATTTCCTGAATCAAGTTAATCTCTAACCATTGTACAAATGCCACCACAACCTTGGCATTTCACACTCCTCTGTATGCCTTCTTGCAATATTAATTGATCCTCTACTGCGTTACTGTTGCGTATATTAAGAGAAAATAAAAGAGAAAACAAACACCGCCGTGATGCGGATTCGAGTCGAAGCTGCTGTGGCTATATGCAGAGTATTGGCCATTATACAACCATGGCGCTTCACAACGAGGCACCAGGAAACGTACGATAAGCACACTGCTGGAGGGCATGCCAGGAGCAGCACAAGAAACACAACAGAAATACTTATCAAAGAGCATACTGAAATGAGCGGACAAAATCTAGCGAATTCATGTCCATGGAGGATGTCAATGTCCAGCATTCAGAGCATACAAAACTGAGGTTGATAGATTTTGATAGATTAAAAATATTAAGAAACCATGGGATAGTGCAGAAAAATGACAG